CATGAGGAAGGACAGTTAAGATCTGAGAATCTATGTGAGTCTGTGGAAGCCAAACCTGACTCAGAACCTTGACTGAGAGAACATTTGAAGGCAGAGCCACAGAAGCATTTCCTAACCTTCCTTGGATGGTTTAGCATATAGGTGATTCTTCTGCAAATTTGAAGAACAATTAAGAATTACTAGTAGCAGCATTGCATATGTATACACATGTACATATAGAGAGAACAAATATAAACTAAGAATATTTTATCTTATCCCTGGATGATTATTAAAAGAATAAGATCTTTAGTTGGCTGTAATAGTCAAAGCATATTTTTTTTTTTGCATCCTAGCTTAAATAGCAAGCTAGGTCCTCCTTATATTGTAGTGTTGTCACTGCATTTCCATGAAAGCCAGTGAAGTAGGAGGAGACTGAAGAGGACAGTCTTCATTTTGAGGTGGAAGATGCATTTGTGCAGTTAGTCCCCAGCAGCACAAGGAGGCTGGAGGGCACAGCTGAACACCTTGACATCACAGGGTACTCCCTGTCTTCTCATTCCATTCTGGATTCCTTTGCCAGGAGTCATCTTTGCCTAGCTCCTATCTGATGCAATTGTGTTTCTGGGAGGGGAGGATTTACCCTTGGCAGAGACTAGGTTGGTCACCCCGTGCTCATGCACTTCGTAGAATGGCTTCAGTTTCAATCTCTTGATGGTTTTGTCACCTCCCATATATCAGAAGCTGGACCTGCAGGAAAGATATTATAGTCAGGATACCTGAGCCATCTGCCTTCAAAACGTGAGAAGTTCTACCTCACTGCTTCACTCGTTTCCACAGTGTTTCCTTTTACATCATCAGAGAGGCAGAGTCTGTCAGGAGCTGGAGCAGCTGGCCAGGCAGGGTGGCTCGTGGAGAGGCGCCTCTCCCAGGCAGCCCCTTTGGGGTGTGTGGTTTTTCCATACTGTCAGCAAATTAACTGTGGGAGACTGGGAAGCGGACATTTTTTAATATGTGAAAAATCAGATTTCTTTGAGAATGAATGATCCATTCTCAGTGGGTCACAGCACTTTCTTCATAAAAACTAGATTTTATTTTAGTTTCCTTTTTGCCTCCTCATTTAGAATTCATTTAGGGTCTGAAAAAGAACAGAGCTTACAAAGCGGGCTCTACTAGCACCCATTACCTGGGACCACCAGTTCTGTAGTTAGAATTAAAGAATGCTTCTTGGTTGCTGGCTTTAGTAGCAGAGCATCCTGTCTCTACTGGCCAGGCATTGGTTATTACACCACTCCCGCTGAAATATTTACCAGCACCTGCGGGGGCGCAAGGCTGTGGGATGGGTTGCAGCACAACTCTGGTGTCTGAGGGTGATGTTGTATAACTGTCCCCAGGAGGACTTGGAAAAACCTGGAGACATGCAGGAAAAGGTGATTAGGAATGCAGCAAACCAAGGAAGCCAGGCAACAGACCACCCAGGCAAGTTTACCAGTTCCCTGAAATTGGTCATGGCCACAAAATAAAAACGGCCCCCAAGCCTTTGAGTGTCAGGGAATTGAGAGGCGATGTGGGGCAGAAGGGGCTGTCCCGGAATGAGAAGAGGTGCCCTGGTACTTACACAGTCAAAGCAGCTTGCACATACTGCCTTGAAGATGATTGGATCTGACTGCGATTAATCAAATATTATGGCTAACCAAAAATAAAAATAAAAAGGAACTAGTGATTGGATCCCATCACCTTCTCACCTTCCTGTTGAACACACTTTCAACTCTGGATTCCTAAGGAACGGTGTCAGCTGCTGAGGGTGGCAGAGCTCCAGGCCAGCCAAACGGGAACCTGGCCGTGGGATGCCCACGGGCCACTGTGGGTCTGTGTGGCAGAAGCATAGCTTTCCCTATGGCCTTCACAGCAGAGATGGTCCCCCACGGGGACCTTGAACTTGGTTTTTATAAGCCCTGAACAGTAGGCAGTGTTGCTCAGAAGCTGTGAACCACTATGACGAGGGCCTATTATCTACACAAGGCTCCTGATGCGTGTGCACTTCCTGGGCCTCAAACCTGCTGCTGATGAGGCTTGGAGACCTTGAGCCTGCCTTTTCAGCCTGGGCCCCCTGTTTACTACCCTCAGCAAGACTTCCTAGAGCATCTGTTAATGGACAGGATTCTTGCAAACACTTCTCAGCGGATAAGTAACACAGTTAATACAGGGTCCCTGATCTCTATCAGAATAGGTAATGTGCTCTGCCAGCAGCCATTGGCTCCTCACAGAAGCCAGCTCTGGGTTTATTATCCCTACAGTTAGCGTGTATATTGAGAAGGAGAACAAGATAAAGTAACACATAAATATATTTGGAAGACACTTTGAAGTGATTTTTCAAATCACTAGATGCAGTGGAATTGTTATCTTCCCTAACTTTGGAGTTAGGGATGGCTGCCCGCTACGAGGCCTGATTGGCTATCCCCAATTATGACACTGGCAGTCCCCGATTATGACACTGGCTATCCTTGAGTATGACACACGCTTAAGTGTGACAGAACTGGAAGCCAATGAAAACAACAGTGAGCTCACTTTTTAAAGCTGCTTTGTTTAAGATGGCTAATTTCAATTCTGTTCTCATCACAGATTATCATCTATTGTGCTTACATTTGAAACATGAGCCCTTGGAGAGTGTACCACTTACTTGGCCATGAGGCAGCGGAGTTCTAGAAAATTAGATAATTTTGAAACATGAACCAAAGTCTGTTTGGCTGACGTACAGATGGGCTGTGCCCTGTGCCGAGGAAGATAAATATAGAGTCTGAAATGATAAAGAGACAACTGGAATATTTTCCTCACATCCTCTCCCATAGTGACCTGTAGAGTGGGCTGCTCTCTGCCTCTCCCTTCTGACACTTGGCTCTGGTTCTGTCCTTTCCCTGTCCCTTTTCTGGGCCTGGGATATAAGGTATTGCCTCTAAGGGAATATATTGGTTTGCACCTGGTGCCGTCACCATATACAGAGTGGCTTACACAACGGGTATTTAAGTTCCCTGGTTCTGGATGCTGGAATTCTGAAAGCTAGGGCTTAGCAGAGTTGAGGCCTTTCTCCGAGGCTCCCAGAGGACCATCTTCCCCAGATGTTGTCACATGATTTCTCCTCTGTGCACATCTACATCCTTATCCCTTCTTATAAGTGCACCAGTTGGGGTGGACTGTGTTCACACCCATTACATCATTTTATCTTCACTGAACCTATTTCCAGTCCCTGTCCCCATATACAGCCATGTTCCAAAGTACGGAGGATTGGTGCTTCAACCTCTGGATTTGCAGAGGACACGGTTCAGATCTAAAGGATGCATTCTGTCAGGAAAGAGACATGCTGAATAGTTTGTATAGGGGCCAGTGTCATCTGCTCTGCTCCATAGAAACATTCCAGCATCTGGCCTGACATGAACAGCTGCTTGGCCACTCAAACTTGGGCAGAGAATCTCCTCTCCCAGCAAAACTTGATTATAACAGAATTGAAGTGCTTCTGTCTCTTTCTTGACTTAATCCTAACCATCTAAAGTGAGTACAAAGTAGATGTTATCTCCCTTCTGCAAAACAGGAAGTAGACACACTGGAGCCCAACTCCTGAACTGATCCCGGGCAGCTTTCTCCCCTCATGTGGCCTGGGCCTCAGTGTTCTGACCCAGGGCTCCCAGTATGTTGGAGTGGATCAGGATAAGTTGGTCACCCTGGGCCATTCATTTGCAATTTACCTTCCTAAGCCATGCTCATTTCCCAAGATAGTCTGTCTTCATGATCTGAAGTGCTTATGAGTTTGCCCATCTGCTAAAATGCATTTGTAGCCCCCAAAACAGTGCACTGATTTTTTTTAGCCATTCATGTACCTATATAGAGTCCTCGAACTTTTGTCAATCTACTGATATGATCCCAGCTGACACCCAACAAGACCACTTTGACCTTCTTGTTCCCTTTTTGACTATACACAAGTGTCCTTTTCCCAGCCTGTCTAGTGCCTCATTTTTCTGTATTGTATTTTCATTGATGGAATTTGGTCTAAATAAGCCACATGTAGCGGTGACAGGGGCAGAGAAGAAATGCCACTTTTAGCAACACAAGTTAGTGTGCTCCCATTGCATTGAGCAACACAAGGTGATCTACAGAAGTTTCTGTCTAATAGGCATAACAAATCAAAATTAGCACCGTAACACCCTTTATTAGAACTTAAGATGTAGAAAGCCCATTGATAGTCTCTTAGGCATACTAGCTTTTACTCTATTTGATAAAAAATATTTAATGTTTAAATGTTTGGCATTACCATCAAATGAATGTTGTCAGAGAAAATCACACATTTTATTGGGCATAACACCACGTTTAATACATAATTAAATTGTAAGTATTTTTTTTGGTAACTGTTTGGTTTTATTCATGTTAAAACAATGAGAAATTTCTTAGTATCTCCCCTTTATCAAGAAAGATCTCGAGTTTTGTATAGGTGAACTCATTTCACCCATCCAGATGTTTTCCATCAGCAGCCATTCTTCCTCCCCTTTGGTGGATAAGGACGCTGAGACTCAGGACAGAACACTTGCCAAGATCTCTGGCGTTTGCAGAGCTGATGTTTAAATCCCAGGCTCGCTGGTGTCACAGCTTGAGCTCTCCACTCTCCCTGTCATCATGGACAAGAAGAATTACTCTCTTCTGTGAAGCAATACATAGCTCATCCCATCTCATTCACTGTCTGTTTTAGAACATTATTTTAGCTAAAATTGATATGGCTCCTGTGGTTAAATTAATTCTGAAAATTTCCCTGGTTTCGTTTTATGGGGAACAGTACACATTGTCTTAACCACCACCTCTCTGTGAAGATTTATGTGGCTGCCTGTGATTGGAGTGATCTTGCTATGTGATGGGGTCACAGAGAGCAGACATGTGTCCTTCTAGTCTTTTCCGAGGATATGGCATTTTTTGAAGGCCTGGTGCTCAGCCTTCAGAATGACCAAAGTCCCCCAGAAACCTCACTCTGTGCTTCTTTCCAGAAAATCACTCTGCACCTCCTGATGTAACCACATACACCTCAGAGCACTCAATACAAGTGGAAAGGCCACAGGGCTCGACAACATCTCGGACAGCACCAAAGTACGGCAATGCTGAGCTCATGGAAACCGGAGACGGTAGGGCTTGCAGCAAGGACGTGTGCTCTTTGTGAATTGTCTGCGGACTGCCCTCTCTGTGTGCAGGCTTGTTCTTTCTGATTGAGTGTATTTCTTCCAGATACATAGTCAGGCACCGAATCTAGCTCATCACATTCCTCACGAACCTTCCATAGAAGGTGGCCTAACCAAATGAAATGCAAATTCTTTCCAAGTTGGCCAAGAAGTTATTTTTCAGGGAAAAAAATGCAAATGTTGCAAAATCGTAACATAAGAAGAAGAAATTTTATAAGAAGCTGATGTGTTTGCTGAATACTCATGCTGGTTGAATAATTATGAGATTACAGCACAAATGTTAAGACCATGAATGGTTTTTTAAATGTTTTTTAAAATCAAAATAATTGACAGATATGGGTAGTATAGTGGTTTAAACTTTGGAAGAAAGAAGGTCTGTTTTATTTTCCTCCAAACAGGACAGCATTTTTGTTGGTTTGATAAAACACCTCATTGGAAGGATTCCCTGCTGTGTCTCACGGGGGGGCGGGGGAGGTTAAACTTGGCCTGCTGTGATTACAGTGATCTCTTCCACCACTCACTGTCAGACCAGTGAGACCTGGACACGGAGTACTGCCATATTCTGCTTTTCTGTCTCCATCCTGGCCAGTGTCCTGAAAGCTAGACTAGAATCAGCATTAAAATTAAACTGAATTTTGTTGTTATTGTTCTATTATTATTATTATTATTATTTTGTTGACACTGTGTAGCCCAGGCTGGCCTGGGATTCTTCCTCTTGAATCCTGAGATTATAGGTGTTATAGCACCATTTTTATTGTTATATTAATAAGATGAACAAAATCATCTCAATGTGCCATTCAGATTCGCTTTGTTTATTGATGTTTTTATGATGCTTGTGTATCATAGAATAGATACATGTGTATACCTGTTAAATAGAAATTCAATTATGAATTCAGTCTGTAAGAGGTAGCATACTCTCTTCAGTATGGTCAAAGCCCAAAAGTCGCTAGTTCATGAGTGATCCAGATACAACAGAAGCCATTCCAGCTTCTAATACAATTGGCTTTCCTTCAGTGCTTTTGTAATTTCCTTTATTCTCTGATAAACTCACTGTTTATTGAATTAGACATTGTTGTTAATCTTGTCATCATTTTAATAACCTGTCATCTTTGAAGTCCATCATTGTCAGCTTTGTTTTCCTAGGTAAATTCCAAGTTATGTGCAATCGTAGATGGTCAGGTGTCTCTTGATATTTGATACCCCCACACCAGATTCACATGGGAGCCCATGTAGATGCAGATTCTAGACCATACCAAAGCCATACCAAAGTGGGTCAGAAGTCCAGGGATAGCCTAAGGATGATTCTTACAAATTCTAAAGTAGGATTCAGAACCACTGCCTTGCAGAATGATTGATCTTGATCCATTTGAATCAAATTAAGTGAAACTATTTAATAGGCAAATAGTATGTTCATATACTGAGAATTCTGAGTTAAACTTTTTTCCCCGTATTTTCAAAACTATAAAATATTTTTCAATTCTGAGAGCCCTCAGTTGACAGTGTGAAGATTGTGTATTGATTTTTAGAAATCTGATAGGAAATTTTTCTTAAGCTCTGACCTATTTGTTCCCAAATGTGCGTCTTCCGGCTGTGGCATTCTGTCTACCCCACGGTTCCTGTTTTTTCAGGAGTACCAGTAAGTAGCCGGGTATCAGCAAAAATTCAGCAGCTTGTCAACACCCTCAAACGACCTAAACGACCACCATTACGAGAGTTCTTTGTTGATGACTTTGAAGAATTGTTAGAAGGTAAAAGAACCTTTTCCATACCTGTTTCTTTCAGCTATTCCTATGGTCCCATGAACAATCCCTCTTTTTTTTTTAATGTTTTCTTGTTTAAGAGCAATAATTCTGCCTTCCTTGAATGATGGAAGTCTCGACCTGGGAGTTGAGGTGCTGTTTCCAGATGACCCCTGAAAGATGTACCCTGCATCAAGTGCCGCTCTCTTAGCAGAATGTGATTTTGCTCTATGAGCCAGGCCTCTCTTTAAGGTCTCACTAAGATTAGAGCAACACTAAATGAAATTCTAGGAACCCTCACCTCACTGCAGAGCTGCGGTCTCTATACCAGCTGTGAAGAGGACTGCAGAGGAAACCGATGCCTGACTCTGCTGTGCTCCTCTGGGTCTTGCAGCATAGAGCTGGTGGCCTCGCCTGGAGTGCTGGGGAGCCTTGTAACACAAAGTCAAAGCCAAATAGACAAGCCACCGGCTCACACCCATACTCCTTGTTTTCCTCTTTGTGAAAACCACCATAAGACAGTCGGTCTTCCGGCAGCAGGTGGAAATGGTCAGCCAGTCACAGACTGTGAGCGAGAAACCCATCATCGGGAGAAATGATTTCAGTTCCTCGCCTGCCTGAACTAAAGGCTGAGGAAGATTCTGCTCTATGATGATGTACATAAACTACATTAAAATAAAATGACACTGCTGCTTTAGCTTTACTTAAAATAATACTTGCTCTATGATCTTTTTATTCAGAGTAGTCATAGGAAATACGTAGCTACATCTGAGCGCTTGAGGACAAAACATAAACATGCAAGATTGGAGCTCTTTGAAGTTCAGAATTACTGTTTTTGGTTATCCAGATTTTACATTGAAATACTAGACCGTACACGTAGGAGTTTGCCTCTTATCAGTTTATAGGTGAACTTGTGTCCTCCTAAGTTCTTGCCATCTTGCCTTGGACTTCCAAGAATGAAGTGTTTCCATCACATCTGTGAACTTAGTATAGGATTCATGACTTTGATTCCAGAGAAGTATATTTTCTGTCAGCTAATAAAGTTATAAATATGAGTATTAATATGAGTATATTTTTCTTGAAAATTTTTTGTATTCATACGTATCTAGTTCAACAACCAGATCCCAACCAACCAAAGCCGGAGGGTGCGCAGATGCTGGCCATGCGAGGGGAGCAGCTGGGGGTGGTCACAAACTGGCCGCCCTCCCTGGAGGCTGCACTGCAGCGCTGGGGGACCATCTCACCCAAGGCTCCCTGTCTGACCACCATGGACACAAATGGGAAGCCCCTCTACATCCTTACCTACGGTAAGCCGAAAAGGTCACTGGCAGCAGTTCTGAAAAGTCTGTCCCTCCCGCTCATTTGCTTACTCCTGCACAAAATTGCTGCTGAGTGTAAAGAAGGTTCATGTCTCCCAGGGTGCCTCCTCTGTTTGCACTGCTTGACGTGTATAAATTCATGGCGTTTCTGTGCCATTGATGGAGTCTACAGGAGTGTTTCAGGAAGATTATTTGGTGTCCGTGTAGAAATTATTAATTGTTTGGGTTTTTTTCCTAACATGAAACTAGAAATAGGTTCTTAAAACAATGATCCAAACTCCAATAAGATACTAGATTCTGCTTCTTGAATACAAATATATGATTTTCTTGAAATACATACTTTCAGCAAGGACTATCCTTTGGCATGAGTTTGGGTCATACTTCTGACACCATCCTCAATACCATAACCCAAAATGCTGAAAATAAAAGATCAAAATTCCTAAAATCCAAAACACAAGAAGATCAAACCCCCAAAATATGATTCTGAAAAATATCGTTTGATTTCTTTAAAAGCCATCTATTTACATTTTCAGGAGGCAATTTATTTAAGAAAAGTTCACTGAACATCACAGACCATTTTATACAGTGAAATAGACAATCAGATACATATTTTTGCAAGCACAAATGCTCAGGTTTGCTTGAGGCAGGCAGACAAGTTTAACAGCTCTTACAGGTGAACTGTGTTCATCAGAACAACGTGGGAAAGAAGGCACAGGGTATATGTGTGCATCACTGCGCCTGGTGAACGTGTGTGTCCAGCTTTGTAACCGTGATAGCCTAAAATACCACGATGGGCAGCAACAGCAATTGGGCCTTTTGACAAGTTAAAACAAAAGCTGTGTTGGGTCACTACCACATTTACAGTTGCCTGAAGAGCACAAATCTCTCACACAAATGCAGGTGTTCAAAAAGGACATCTCTTCATCTGAGGCAGTTTTGACCTTGTCTCACACACACAATGCTGGCATAAACCAATTGTAATCATAATCCACTTGTGAGAGCCACATTTGCATAATAAAAACATGGATAAATTAGAAAAAGTCAGTACTAGAAATGACACACAGATTAAATACATAACGTAGGAAAATTATAAAGAAGAATGATGACAATTGAAAATAGTGGGAATACTAAACTAGCCTGGGAGCACCCTCTCCCCCTCCCCCCAAGAGTCCTTCCAGGGGACTTCGGGAATCTGGAGGCTGGTAAGCTTGAAATTCTGGGTAGGGTAGGGTAGGTTGCTTGGTTGTTTGTGTGTATGTGTTCATGGGATTGAATTTGGGATATTATTGTGTGCTAGGCTAATGCTTTGTCACTGAGCTACATACAGCCTGAGCTCAGAATTCTGATGTCCAGTGCAGTTGAGAAAAACTATGTTCCAGCTTTCAGAGAAGCTCACCTTCTGCCTGAACCCCTAACTGGTTGAATATACCTCTCTGTGTTGAGAGGTCCCGGCCTCACCTAACACTCATCCCTGGAGACAGCTTCTCAGACAACCCCAAACGATACTTGAACAGATTTCGAGGCATTTGTCCTGCATTCACCCTGCGCGCCATGATGCAAATGAAAACCCGCCAGTTCCTCCCCTGAGTTGGCTTCTCAGCCCTCTTACATAGGCCTTTACCCCTTGCCATGGGAGTTGCAGTTTCCAGAATTTGAGCTTTCAAAATTTCAACAATTGGAGGACTTTTTAAAGTCTTTCAGTTTATGATTTTAGGAGGATTTTAGACTCCAGAGGTTTTGCTTTTTCAGGATTTCAATATTCAGGATTACAATACTGAGGATTATGAATTATTATTGGCGTCTATGAGAAGAAAGAAAAGCTACATGTACAATTCTGTTTCAGAAATACAGAGAAACAAGCACTCCTTAATACTTTGTGTACCCATGAGCTTTCGCAAGTTGGTAGCTACAGCAGAGAGGTGCCTTTGCCTTTGTTCCACCACCATGGAGAGAGCAGATTTTCCAGTTCTTTGCATACTGTCGACTTCATCATTGCAAAGAGACCAACTTACGAGCAATGGAAAGACGCTCTTTACATGTGCTGTGTAAGGTTAGGTGACCTTTTTCCTAATTTAGTTTTTACTGAAGGTTGAACTCAGCACTTTGCACTTAGTAGGTGGGCTCTCCACCACTTGAGCCTTTGTTGATTCAGTAAATTTTTAGATAGAGTCTCAAGTATATGCCTGACTGGCCTTGGCCTATGTGTGCTTCCTTAGGACAGGCGTAGAGCACTGTGCCAACTTATTACTGATCGTGACTGAGTCTTGTGAACTTTTTGCTCCTCCCAACTCTTAACTCTGAAGTACCCTCCTTAGTTTTGTTTACGTAACACATACACTCTTCTGATTGCAAGTGGAGAAGAAATCGCTTTCTGTATTGGCCGTCAAGGTTAAGAGCCAGACATCATGGGATTCAGAAGGGTCTGGCCTTCTGATGGGGCTGTGCCAGCTGGGCCAGCTGTGGATATAAGCATCCCTAGATGGCAGTGGAATGTTGGCTTAGGAGCCTATTTGAGTTTGGGATCAGATGGTTCACGGCCCGATTGTTGTTCATGGCTTCCTTTGGTAGTTTCACGTGCAAAGAGAATGTCATTTGTGATCAAGAATATGCTTGAGTTCCTTCTTTAAGGAAGTCTTTTCTCTGTGTCTTTCACAGCTGGCCAAATGTATGCTTGAGGCTGGCTGTGTACTTGTGCCATTGTTTCTGGACTTTACTGCCTCATGTGGGAAATCTTAGGGGCCAACTTGCCTGCATGTATGAGCATATATATTCTTTCTGATGGCCAGTTAAATGTTCTCTAAGATGAGTGAAATATAACACATAAAAAACTGGCACATTACGCAGGTTTGGGAAATCAACATTATAAGACAGTTTTCAAGAAGGGTGCAAGTTTAAAATCTAAGTAGGAGTGTAGCCCCTATCTGTTGACGGACTTTTGTTTTGTTTTTGGGTCTGGTCGTGGGGCCTGAACTCTGGGCCTGGGCGCTGTCTCTCAGCTCTTCAGCTCAAGGCTAGCGCTCTACCACTTGAGCCACCGTGCCACTTCCGGCTTTTTTCTTTTTGCTTATGTGGTGCTGAGGAATTGAACCCAGGGCCTCAGGCATGCAAGGCAAGCGCTCTACCACTGAGCCACCTTCCCAGCCCCTGTTGATGGACTTTTGAACAAATTAGTTATTGTTCTCTCTCTCTCTCTCATTCTCTTTCTTTTCCTCTCTCTCTCCTGTTTTGCTCTCCTGTTTCTCTGTCCTGTCTCTTGCTCTCTCGTAAAGCTAATATGAGGTTGATGAACAAGACTGTGCACTGCCTACAACTGAAACATTTCTACTTCACTTACATCATCTGTATTTTATTGTATTCTAATCTCTCTATTGAAAATTAGCTTTGATATGAGTTTGTGGTGATACCAGCTTTAAGACTCTTGGCTGAGAGAGAAGTTGAAGCTTGAACAAACTATAACAGTGCTGGGCTGGGTGAGGTGGAATATACTTGGAATCCCAGCTTCCCTGGAGGTGAAAGTAGGAAAGTCACCACCATTAGAAGTTAGTCTCAGGCAAAACATGAAATCCTACATGGAAAAAATAGCTTTAAAAGTGCTAGGAAACTGCTCAAGAGATGGTCCCTGCCTAACAAGCACAAGCCCTGAAATCAAACCCAGTACTGCCAAAATAAAAACTATAATGGTGCTATTGTTTGCAACTGATTTGTTCATTTGTAATCCATTGATAGTTTTTCAGTTCTAATTGTTTGATTTTAGTAGTCTGTGATATTGACTACATTAAAAAATTTTGAAAGCACAAAATGTTTAGGGGAGAAAAATCACTCCCCGGGTTATTTCTAATATAGTGACTATTGTTTATAGGGAAAGAAACATAATCCCCAAATAAAATTTCAAATGACTTTGGAGCATCCAGCTTTGAGAACTACATTGTTAAATTTACAAGTTAAAAAACATGAGCTGGGAGCCAGTGGCTCATGCCTGTAATCCTAGCTACTCAGGAGGCTGATATCTGAGTATCGAGGTTCAAAGCCAGCAGGGCAAAAAAGTCCCTGTGAGACTCTTATTTCCAATAAACTACTCAAAAACTGGAAGTAGTGCTGTGGCTCAAAGTGGTACAGCTCTCACCTTGAGAACAAAAAGGGGTTCTGGGACAGTGCCCAGGCCCTGAGTTCAAGCCTCATAGCTGACAAAAATTGGCCAGGGGGAGTGGGGGGGGAAGGGGAGACAATAACTTATGATGTTAATAAAACCAAGACATTCATTGAGGACATACCATCAACTAGGAATTGTCTTAGGAAATTAGAGCAATTAAAGATAAAGCGCCTGCTCTTGAATGCAAATCGATGAACCTCTGATGGGTTATTAATAACAGCACTGCTTTGGGTAGCTGCAATTTCTATGGAACACTTTTTTATTTCAACTTTTTATAATAAGGAAACAATTAAAATAATGATTGCATTAAGATAGAAAATAACTAGAGTTGCTCTTTGTTATTACATTAAGATAACAGCTATCACCTTGGCTCCCTGAACAGCTCTTAGCAGCTGAGTTTCTGAGACTCGATTGTAAAAGGCCTTTATGTATTCAAGAACACCTTTTAGATTTGAAGTCATTTTATTCCATCTTAGACTGTTCACTATCACCTGAATAAGGAAATGTCTGGCTGTATGTTTAGGCAAGGATTTTGAAATGTACAAGTCCTTTGGGGCTTTTTTTCCCCTAAGCTTTTAAAAAACATAGAAAACAATATAAAGTTTAAAACTCCATATGAAAAGTTTTAAAATTTTCTTCTTAAATCCTACTTTATGATAATTTTTCTAGAATTCATGTTAAAATAATCCCATTATCTTTATCTAAACCCAAGGATTCCTTTTCCAAAACTCCCAGACCCGAGGTTAGAAAAGCCTGATACTGAAAACGTAGGCCCTGGAGAGAAGGAGAGATCAGGCTTTGGAATGGCCAGTAAGGACCATGTTAGCATTCTTTGCAATTACAGTAGACAGGGAAAATTAAAAAAGGAATTAAAAAATTAAAAAAGGATCTTACCCATGACTCCTGGGATGAAAAGGACAGATCATCTGTGGCTTTGCTGTAGGTACTCTGCATGCTAGCCTGGATTCTGCCCAGAACCGGGACCTCGTTCATAGGTTCAGGCTTCTCAGAATGTATGAGTCAGAGTTGTTGGTGCCTGTTTCCTATCTCAATTCCAGGAACTTGGAATAAGTTGAAGGCTAAGAGTGGAAAAAAAGCTTTGGGTAAAACTTCATCCCTGAAGAGCATCCCCTCCCTCTCAGGCTAGCAGAAGACAGACTAGAGCTGGGTTTCTATTTTTATTTCTTTTGAAACTTTACTTTTAGAAACCTCTACTTCCTTATTTTGGGGATATTTTGGTTTCTAGTCTTGCCAGATTGTTCCTTTTTTCCTTAATAGTTACATGTGTTAGAGTTCCCTGTGGGGGTGGGGGGGCATGCATAGCAGAAGCAAATAGCTATACTGACTAAACTTTCAGTTAAGAGAATACTTTCTATTAATGCACCCATGTGCGTGTAACCGGAAATGCATGTGTGCAATGGTAAAAATCTCGTGTCTTTATGCTATGTATTCACAGGCAAACTGTGGACACGAAGTATGAAGGTTGCTTACAACATTCTACACAAACTAGGTACAAAGCAAGAACCCATGGTTCGGCCAGGAGACAGGGTAAGTACTACTGTTTAACTGTCCCATCTGCATAATGCAGTGCTGTATGGAAAATGTCTCTGTTTTAAAATCCCAGCATTCCATCCCTTCTCTTGTTTCCTAGTATGTATGGCTTCCTTCACTTTTGAAGCAGGAGTAAAGGCATATATCATGTCACTTAACTTCCCAGCAACTCAGTGAGCAGTGCTGTAGTTTTTCTCTTTGTGTTATACACCCAAGACACCCAAGCTTCAAAGGTGCTAAGTGTCTTACCAGATGAAGGCACTGACCCAGGGAGGCACAGCCGGTCACTTCTGTCAGCGTGAGGAGCCCTTGCTGTACCAGCCACTGTCATAGGTCCTAGTTTTTCCCCTAGTCTGAAATGCACTGGTGCCATCCACCTGGGCAGCAGGACAATATTTACAGTGCCTTTGACCTCAGTCAGTGAGACAGACAGATCTGGCCAGCCAACCAGTGGCATAATTGTTTTCCCACAGTTAGCTCTTTTTTATTTTTTAACCTTGTTTTTTTTTTAATATTTTTTATTATCTTTCGAGTAGTTGTATAAAGGGGTTGCCACGTAAAGCAGTTTTTGAATACAACTCTTACACTCACATCTTCTATTGTCAAACAAAGTTTTAATTTGCTTCTTAGAGCAAAATGGGTAAATTAAAGAGGTTAGGTGTTAATATTTCTGTTTCCATGTTTTATCTGAGCAGTCACTAACTCTATCCAAGCTTTATGTCCTGATTTAGATGTAGAATTTGCTGTAAAACCTAATTTTCTTCTCTTCAAACATATACCTTTTCTTCTACTTCTGTGTATCTTAAGTGACTAGATGTACCCTGGTTCTTGCTGTTCAAAAGAAAACTGCTAGAGTAGTCTATGAAAGCCCCAGGTTAGAGCACCAAAAATCAATAAGAACTTAGCTTTCACTTGCCTAAGAGAGATAATAAAGACACTGGACTATAAGGGGAATTTTTACAGATTGCTGCATCTCCAAGATAGTGTGGTGGACTGTGAATCCTCTCCCTCTGTCCCTTCCTTCCTCCTTCCCTCCCTCATGGTTATGCAGTATGTCAAAGACCAAACTCTTCACAAATGTGGTCATTTGACCTTTATCATAATACTAAGGTGCACTTTTCTATCATTGTTTTCAGTATTCAGATAAGAAAATGAAGGCTCAGAGAGACCAAAATCGTGCACCAGGGCCCAGAGCTAAAAATTGGCATAGGTCTGGTCTGATCCCAGGCTGTCTGCGAGGTCACCTGCTGGCCATTTGTACAACCTTCCATTACAGTTCTGAGGACTACATTGAAATGCGACACTATTTATGAAGCTTAGAGAAAACAATAAACAAAATAATGCATCTACTGGGATTTCATCTCTATAAATATTATGTGGACATGAAAGTAGCAGCCCCTGTATTGTGGTAACAGCATTATAGATGATTCTGGTTAATATTCACCATCCACATATTGAGAATCTGTGAAGTACTTGATCAGATTCCTCTTACTAAAAGGTGTTTGGCATAGAGCACATCATTCTTTTTCCAGCCTCTTTCTTATTCAGAATTTTAATCCTGCCATCTTTAGGTGGGTGAACCCTGTACTAGGTCTTGGAAAGTTGACCTGGAAATGTCTATGTGTGGTCTGTCCCTGCAGGTGGCGCTGGTGTTCCCCAACAACGACCCTGCTGCCTTCATGGTGGCCTTCTATGGCTGCCTGCTGGCGGAAGTTGTTCCTGTGCCCATTGAAGTGCCGCTCACAAGGAAGGTAAGGAGCTGTGTGTCCTTACAGCCCTCGGGGTCAGGTGGCAGGCTCAGTGGCCGGTGGGGGCTCTGTTAGATAAGAATGTGCTGACAGCAGTTTTTACAATGGTTGTGCCTCTCAACTAGATGTGGATGGAGAGGGGCTGAGCCTGTGAACTGGTTTTCTACCGTAAAGGAAGCAGTTAATCACGCCCAGCACAGCTCCACTGTGGGTGTGCAGCTCCTGGAGGTAGAATTCAAGTTTACTTGGTAGCAGGATACAGAGCTGTCTGTAAAGAGTAACTGTCTCACACATAGTTTCCTGTGCATTAGAATACCAGGCAGATGATTATCTGTTTTAAATTTTTATTATTCTCTTTTTTTTTCTGCTGTGAGTGGGGCTTGATCACTTTATCTGTGATTTGTCAGCTCCTACCCTGCATTTAAATAACCAGCCTGTGGTGAAGTCAGTGAGGGAGAAGTCCAGCCCTGAGGTGAGCTGGTTCACAGCTGACTGCAGAAACCACGGAAACTAGGCTGACTGTGCCAGGACATCCAAAACCTTTCCTGAAACCAGCAAGCGAGCCACACATGGACCACATTGAGCAGTGGGTCATTGCCACTGCCACAGGCCTAAACCACCTTGGGTTTTGTTGTTGTTTTGTTTTATGCCAATTTCAGGATTTGAACTTAGGGACTTGTACTGGCTAAGCTTGCTTGCTCAGCTCATTCTCTGCCACTTGAGTCATACCTCCAGCCTAGCTTTTGCTGTCTATTTTTTAGATGGAATCTCTTTTCTGCCTGGCCTGGCTTGGAACCATGAAACTTTGGTCCTCTATACCTCATCGCCCCCCACCCCCCTCCCCCCACCACCCTGAGTAGCTAGGATAACAGGCATGAGCCACCATGCCCAACTGATTCTATCTCTAATACTTCAGTTTTAAATTGCAATTGATAACTTTTCAGTTGATGAATCACAATTATGTATCCTATGGAAGACACTGTAATGTTTGATCTTTGTATGCAATGTGGAATGATCACAACAAGCAACTTAGCCTGTCACCTCACGTGTCTATCATTTCCTTATGGTATTTTGAAATATACAATACATTGTTATGGATTGTGATCACACCAGTGGAGAATGGTTCACAGGTTTGCCGCCTGTCTGTAGGAATCCTCCCCAGGGTCTCCGTCCTCACCCCTTCCCCCAGTCTGTAACCGTGGGTCATATCAGGTGAACTTCAGAATGTGCATGTAAGTGAGGTCGAGGGATGCTTGTTGTGTTGTGCTGGCTTTGTCCCCTCAGCACAACATCCTGAGGGCCCACCCACATGTCTACATATGAGAGGATTTCCTTCTTGTCAGAGTTGGGACGAGGGCCACATGTGTCCTTTATATCCATTCATCTGCTGATGAACATGTAGGTTGATGCCATCTCTTGGCTGTTGTGAATGATGCACGGTGAACGTGGGAGTGCTAATGCTCCTCCCACACATTGATTTTAATTCTGCTGGATGTATTCCTAGTAACAGGCTTGTCAGATCATGCAGTAGTTCTATTTTCAGTTGTCTGAGGAATTTCCATACCATTCTCCATCATAGCTGTGTTGATTTAGCACAGCACGAGCAGCATATCAAAAGTCTCTTCTCTGCACATCCTTGCCAACCCTGGCATGAATGAGGCCTAACAGGTGTCAGATGACATCACTGGTTTTTATTTACATGGCCTTGGTGAGGGATGCTGAGGATTGTTTCACATACGCTGTTGGCAATTTGTGCATCATCTTTTGAAAACTGGACCCATGGCATCTACCAGCTCATTGGCCTTTGAAAGTTTTTCTTGGTTTTAACTGGTCAAATACATTGGTTCAGGTACAATTCAGAGGGGTAAGGATGTAAGCATAAGTAATGACATTTGTGAGTCCTGGAAGTTGCTTTTATTTAGTTCCCTTGCAATTGGTTTATTAGCCCTCTTGAGCACAAAACATTCTAAATCCTAAACATTGTTTAGTAAACCTAGCTCATTAATTTGGTTCCCATGTAACTTTACTACTTTTCCATGCCTTTGGCGGGGAGGCATTGTCGAGCTATGCAGCATAGGAGAAATGGATGATCTGTGATCATTTTGGGGAGGGAGCTATAGAGAGGCAGCCAGGCGTGCGTCTGCATCAGTGAGACTGGAGTAGCTGTTGAAGATTTGGACAGCACCGATGCTTGGTCCTAGCAGAGGGGTTTTCAGACATGCAGAGCAGGCTTAGCTGAGTCACCCAAAGGACTAAAGGCTCTGCCCCAGGTGTGGAAGCCTGGGTGCAGAGTGAGGCTGCGCAGAGACCCAGTCTGTGCACATGCTGAGGGCAACAGGACAGAGAAGGAAACGGGAGATCGCCCAGGTCTCCCTGGCTCCCTGGCCTTCCTGGCTCTCTGTTCCAACTAGTGTAGGTGCCAGCTGGCTGCAGGGAGCTGCTATGGTGTGGGTCACTGTTCATAAGCAAGAGTCTCTCTTTCTCTCTGTCTCTCTCTCTCCTTCTCTCTCTGTCTCTCTCTCTCTTATACACAGAACAGCTGATATCTGCATATCATATTTATTTACTCCAGGGCACATGTGCATTAATGTACAGGTTTAGATGTCCCTGAATATACCTGTGAGTTTATTCTTAAATACACATGTTGGGTATTCATGTACATGAGTGGAAAGATACATTCCTTTGTGTGCATGCATAGTGCATGTGCTGGGGTTGTTAAGCATGTGTGTGTGTGTGTGTGTGTGTGTGTGTGTGTGTGTGTGTGTGTGTGTGTTGAGAATAATAGGTAAGATCAGATTGGCAAAACATTGGTAATTGTGGTGCTAGATGGTAGGCACATGGATTTTTTTTCTATTTTGAAACTTTACATTATGCATAGAGTTTAAAAAAATACATAGATTGATCAACTTGTCTTAGTACTAATAAGGAGAATTTCTTTGGCCAAGTTCCAGCTCTACCTAGAACATTACCACTCTCATCTTGAAACTCACCTGTCTGAGGTGTGTGGTGGGTTAGTCGTACATTTAAGGTTCATTTGCCTTGTACGTCTTCTGTTGTGATCTTAGACCATCTCCTGTGAGCACACAAGCTGGTGCACCAGCCATGTGAGCAGGCAGGGGACCGGGTAAGATTGGCAAGGATTGGATAAGCCATTGTGTGGCAGGTACAGATCCAACACGAGTTCATGGAGGTGACTTTCCATGAGTGGCACCTCATTTGCTAGAAAGAGAACTGTTGAGTGAGTGAGTGGTGCTTTCTGTCAGAGGCTGGGTCGTTGCTACCTGGGCTCGTGTAATGTGGTAACTTAAATTACTCCCAGAGAGACTGTACACAGGGAGAACTTTCTAGAAAGTGGTATAATCAACCCTTTAGCTATTGGAGAAAGAATGAAAGTTGAGAAAAAATGCTTGAATTCACATTTCGTGTAGCTTTTCTTTCACAGAGAACAGTGGCTCTTAAAGGAGACTTTGTGGTCGAGGAATCGATCGTCTGTCACAGGCATGCCTCCACGCCCCTCTGAGCGTGCTCTGTGTCACCCACTGCCTGCCAGACATTCTTACCGTGCTTACTGCTCTGGGAAAGGCACGTGATAGGGATGGCAAGGTCGGAATGTGCATCCTGGGAGCTCGCTTCATTCACACACATCCTGAGCATTGGCCACCGTTTCCCTGGCCAGGCCCCGTTTTCAGCCAGCTGGAGTCAGTGCTCCTTTCCAGGAATGCGGCCGGCCTCTGGCACTGGGGAAGCCATTGCTGCTGGCACGGAGGCATCCGGTCCTCAGGGTCATGAGCGGTGCTCCCCTTTGCTCCCTGGGCTTCTGTGGCTCATCCCACTTCCTTTTGTGGGCCTTGTATGTGGGCTGAGAGGACTGGGGGGATGGGGTGGGGGCACTGGCACAGAGGTCTCAGGAAGAGCTGGGGGATGGTAGAGGACTCTCGAGGAAGAGAAGGAATATGTGATCCCCAAGCTTTATTGATAATGACTGTAGTGCTTCCCTGTCTCTCCTGCCACCTCGTGGTTTCTAATGTTTACTTAAATTATCTTTTTATATACATGTGTGGATATTAAGAAGGCAAAGTTCAGGGGCAGCTGGACCTGGGTTTTGGGGAAGGACTTGTCACGCTCTGGTCCTCACCCTTGCAGCAGCTGCTTACCCTGTGGTGTCTCCTACCCCAGCCGCTCCCTGTGTAGACGCAGCCGGGGCTGGGCATTCCGACTCAGCATGACACTTAGAGCCGGGTTCCTGCTGCCAAGATGCACATCATATCACCTGTCTGCCTCACCTCTGTGAACAGCTTTCTGTTGTTAATGCCATCATCAAACTCACATTACACTGGTTGATCTTGCTTTGTACTGTTAGTGAGGAAAACACTGTGCATGCATGTGCGCGCGCGCGCGCACACACACACACACACACACACACACACACACTCCCCCATACTGGGGCTGTGTCCATCGCTCCCAACCTCTTCTCTCCTTTTAGGGTGATGTCCAGGTGCACATTGGCTTATTGGCTGTGGCTCTGTCAGATTTAAGTGTTATCATAAGAGGGGTACAGATGACACACTTTAAAGATTCAGCTTTGACATCTTCTTGCTGCTTCATTTCCTGGGTGGGCACACCACCCTGTTGTGGAGTTTCCTGTGGACAGGGCAGGTGCTCTGGGCTTGCGCCTCCTGGGACTCCTTCACTTCATTGTGATGCCTTTATCCCAGGATGGTATAAAGCCCCCTCGAGGGCTTCCATTTTATTTCCCGAATCAGCTGTCCAACAACCATGCTGCTGTGACTGGTGGGACTAAAGAAACTGAATTGAGCTGGCTCCGCTGCTCCTTTGTCTTCCTGCGTGCTGCTGAGCACCAGTGGCAATAAAGTTGGTCAGGGAAGCAGCTCCCGGGGCCACTGCGGCTGTAGACATCCCCGCCTGCAGTGCTCGCTCAGATGTGACTTTCCAGAATCAGTGCTGAGCTCTCATGGGCTCTGCCCAGTGAGTCCCAAGGCAGGGGTATCACCTGCATCTCCATGGGAAGAGAATTACAAAGTTAGACATGCAGTGTGACTGTAATAGATACAAAGTGTTTCCTTAGGTCCTTTCCCTTTTCCACAGTAAGTCAGCCTTTCCATCCTAGTCCGGTAGACTTGGCTGAGAGTATAATGGCAGACTTAATGAGACTGTCGCTGATCGCTCCTCAGCACAAGCCAAGTTGTGCATGGCTGTTCTTTTATTGCCATCTTACAAGTGAGGGAGCAAGCTACCGAACCCGTTCAAGGCCACCCAGCCTGTGAGCAGCAAGGATGGGGATTGATCCTGGTGCTTCGGACCAAGCCTGGGCATGAGTCCAGTTATTCCGGATGAGAGAAGGGACTCAGGGAGGGGCAGCACCCAGGCCCAGAGTTCAAGCCCATGACCAGCAAAAACAAACAAAAATACAGTCAGGGCCATGGGCCTCCTACTCCACACAGTGAAACCTCGACCTCCTGTGACTGCGTCTGGAGATGGCTGTTAAGGAAGTAATGAATATTAAATCAGGTCTTCCCTGAGACCTAAGGTGGTACAGTGGTTTGTGTCAGGAATAGAGCTGTATTTTGGATCCTTAACTCCCTCCCCCCTCTCCCCTTCCCTTCTCTCTCTCCCCCTTTCCTCTCTCCCTCTCTCAGGACGCAGGGAGCCAACAGATAGGTTTCTTGCTTGGAAGCTGTGGTGTTACTGTAGCCTTGACCAGTGATGCATGCCACAAAGGCCTTCCGAAGAGCCCAACGGGAGAGATCCCACAGTTCAAAGGTAGGCTCAGCAGGGGTGGAGCTCCTCCTTTTCCACTCCAGGACATGGCTTGCCTCTGGTGTCACCGTCTCTGTGAACGCACAGCTCCTCAGCCTGAGTGATGGGTTTATCTGATGCTGGCTTGAGTGCTTGGTCCCGATGATGTCTTCGATTTGATGACACAGGAAGCACTGGAAATGGTGCCATCTGGCCTGGGCTTTATTTGAAAGCACGCCACATGAACAGAGAGGAGGAGCTCTTCTTACTTAATAGGAATTTATCATTTCTTTCCAAGGTTGGCCAAAGCTGCTGTGGTTTGTCACAGAGTCCAAACATCTCTCTAAACCGCCTCGGGACTGGTTCCCACACATCAAAGATGCAAATAATGACACTGCGTACATCGAGGTGAGCCACATGCAGCCTTCCATGGCGTCTGGTGCGTGCTGGGGGTGGGTGCTGGGCTCCAATCTTTAGACCAGCTCCAGAAGTGGGAGACTCAAAGCATCTCACAGAGAAACTGGTGGGGACCAGGGCTTTGTCTCTGGAAACCACCTTCCCGCACGACTTTTGTCTCATTTCCTTCAGTACAAGACGTGTAAGGACGGGAGCGTGCTTGGCGTGACAGTGACGAGGATTGCGCTGCTCACTCACTGCCAGGCGCTCACACAGGCGTGCGGCTACACGGAAGGTAATGCTCCCATCCAGACAGTGGGGCACCGGCCTCTGCAAGGTCTTGGCTAGCTCGCGATGCCAGGATGTGGGGTGGAGATCCAGCCCATATTGTTCCCACCACTTACTGGGAAATCAGTGTGAGCTTTGTGCCCAGCTCCATGCACGGATGACTTTCTGGACAGTTCTGTGAGGGTCTTAGCTTGGGTAGCATCACCAAGCACCACACATTAATCCGGCTTAAAGGGCAGGTGCAGGGCTGAGGCGGGACACCCAGGGTCAGAGTGCTGGCTGGGAGGGTTCGTGGTGAGGTTTCTTCCGGGTTTGTAGATGGGGCATGTGTGTCCTCACGTGGCCCTTTCTCTGTGTGGAGCTAAGAAAAGAGATTGCTCACCCTCATACAAGGACGCCAGTCAGTGCTCCACTCTGCAACCTGATTTAATATTCATTATTTCCTTAACGACCATCTCCAGATGCAGTCACAGGAGGTCAAGGTTTCACTATGTGGAGCAGGAGGCCCATGGCTCAGTCTGGAATGGTTCAGGGTATTCATCCCTGGCTCTACATTAATGTACCTTTTTTTTTCTGGTCTTGAGGCTCGAACTCTGGGCCTGGGGTGCTGTCCCTGAGCTTCTTTTTGCTCAAGGAGAACACTCTGTCACTTGAGTCACAGCACCACTTCCAGCTTTTTTGAGTAGTTTATTAGATAAGAGTCTCACAAAGTTTCCTACCCGGGCTGACTTCAAACCATGCTTCTAATATCTCAGCCTCCTGAGTAGCTAGGATTACAGGTGTGAGCCACGGGCACTTGCAGAATATATCTTTTAAAGCTTTAAAAGCCTCATCGTCAGGCACCAGTTGCTCACCCTATAATCCTCTCTACTCAGGAATCTGAGATCTGAGGAATATGGTTCAAAGCTAGCCCTGGGACACAAATCTATGAGACCCTTATCTCTAATTAACCATCAAAAAGCTAGAAGTGGAGGATAGCACACCAGCCTTGAATAAAAAAGCCAAGCAAGAGCATGAGGCTGTGTTTAAGCCCTAGTACAAGCACAAACATGCACACACACTAAATAAATAAATAAGGAAGTGCTCATGCTTTCACCTACCTTCACCAGTTGAATGAGAAGCTCTGCAGGCAGATTTTTCTAAGGTGGCAGGGCATAGACTCCACAGTGGGGAGCAGCTGCACAGTGTATGTTCCTTCCCCTTAATTGGAATGGATATGGGAAGCACGGAAGTAACCATGGTAACAGCTCTATAAACTGGACCTAGAGAAGGAAGGACTAACACAGATCCCTCTGTGACCTTCTGACTTGTCACCTCTCATTCCTATACAGAGGCATGGCCACAGAAGACAGACAGACAGACACACACACACACACACACAGAGTCTCTTATTATGACTTGAAGGGACACAGCCACAGTAGATACACACACACACACATACATACACACACACACACACACACACACACAGAATCTCTTATTATGACTTGAAGGGACACAGCCACAGTAGATACACACACACACACACACACACACACACACACGCATGGTCCCTCGGTCTCCTACTGCAACCTGAAGATGCTGTTAGGGATACTCATCTGTCCACTTGAGAATGAGATGCTTTTCTTTTCTTTTCCCCACTGTTTGCCTTCTTTCCTCTTCACTCTGATAATCACTGTTCTGTCTTAAAAATTCTAAGGAATCTAGCATGTTTTCTTTGAGCATATTTGTTTTCAGAGTCTCTGGGGCTGGAACCTTCCATGTTTTAGCATCAGAGAGGAGAGCAGGGACTTAAACTGATCCCTTGGCAAACATCAAAAGAGGGAACAGGTGAGAGTGTAAGATGTGATAGCCACCAACAGCAGTGAGTGGCGGTCAAGGGGTGTGTGTGCAAGCACCTCAAGCTCTTGTTCACCTGGTGGGCAGGTGAGACTTCAGGGGACTTCCAGCATCTTTAGCAGATGGCTTCACCCACAGTTTTTCATCATTGTTTTACTTCATCCCTTCCCATAATCCTTGAATCCTCCTTCACTCCTGTCTAGGCTATTTTCACCTCTATTTCTCACAGTGGAGAAATGGGAAGACAAAAAGAGATGGGGGAAATAAATACTTAAGGGAAGAGATAGGTGTTTGTAAGTGGTGTGCAGGCAGCGTTGCTCACTCACATGCCTGGATATCTACCTAGAGAAACTCTACAGGCCTTGCCAGCACTTCCTCCTGCAGCCAGGAGAGTCTGCTGAATTCTTGTGAGGCTCTAGCCTTGCCAGGACGCCCTGTAACCCCCTCACCTGCTCCCACAAGGCTCTTCTCTGCAGCCAAGCCCGTGTTGTCATGACATCGGGAAACACTCTTGTAATTCTTCTCACGCAGCTGAAACCATCGTGAATGTGCTGGACTTCAAGAAGGATGTGGGGCTGTGGCACGGCATCCTGACGGTAAGTGGCCCATTGGGCCACGTTGTCTTGTCGCATGCATGAGCCAGGTTTACGTTGCGCCGTGTGCATGCGCTGGCCCCCACAGGTCTCATCTTCCCATAGCACGAAGGGAGAAGTGTTGTGGGTAGCCAGCGCTGTCTTCGTGGGTAGCTCAGTAGCTATTGTCCTGAATCCTAGGCCCAGATGTTGAGCTTACAGATTAGAACTTCAATAAGGTAGTTTCTTAGGCTGAAATTCCGCTGATTTTCTAGAGTATTCCAGTAAGTTTTACATGAGTGATGGAAATCTACATACGGAAAGTCGTGTTGTTGTTGGTTGGTAAGGCAGACTTTATATGGACAAGAAGATGTAATTGTCTCCTACTCTATGTGTGACTCCCGAAACATGGCTCATTTCTAACACCTAGACACCCTTTGCTGCTGTGGTACAGAAATACACTTCTCAATGCTGCCATGGTGCTTGTGTGAGGGGAAGGGCCTTGGGGCTGTGTGCACAACAAATGCCTGTTGCTAGTCAGATGGCAGTGACAGTCCTGTGTGGTGTGGTTGGCATGAGAACCGTGTGGCCCGGTGTCCAGTAGGTTCCTTATCCACCTATGTACTGGACACGTCTGGTCATATTACCAAGTCATATAGACACTCAGTGATTGCTACTACTGCTAGAGTTGTTGCCGTTAGGAGGAAATGCTGTGGTTAAGACCACCCCTGCTGCTGCTGCTGCTGTTCTCCAGCCCTCCATAACACTCACTCCCCCACCAGGGTAGCTCCTTTGTCCATGGTGTCACCTTGCTGGTCGATCTGGACCCTGGCCTGGAAGAGTTGACCATCTGTGAGTCGGCTTCACTGCCCCTTCCAAAGCCAGGTGGCTCTGCGACCACATGACAGCACCCACTCGACCTCCGCCTGGAGGTGCTGTTAGCTACTCTTCCCTGGTGCCAAGCGGGAGGGAGCAGCCCCAACACGTGGAGTGTACATGCATGGCTGAGACCTCATGCCTGGCCGGCACACATTGTCCTTCCATTTTCACTTGAACATCCCCCAAAGGAGTGATCAACCTACAGAATGCTCTGGGCTCTCTTTGTGCCAGCCCACAGGAGTGTAGGGGAATGGTAGCACCGCGCAAAGCCAGCCCCTCGCCACCTGACGTCATGGCCCCGCAGCGTGTGCAGCAGCGGGTCCTGTGGAGGTGCCCAGCAGCGTGGCCACGCTGGCCTCCCTGGTGTGTTAGCTTAGGCTAGTCAGCCATTTCAAGGGAGCTTCTTTCTGACAGGTCCAGAAAACAAACTTTCCATTTCCACTCCTTGATGTTTCAGGGTAACATTTAACTAGTAAAATTAACTCTGTGAAATAAAAATTGTTACAATATACTAGAAATGGATCTTTAAAGATCCAAAAGGCTATTAAAATGAGTATTCGGTGAGGTTTTTATTTACAGTCGACACATAATTATACACATTTACATAGTACAGCGTGACATTTCAGCACATGTATGAAGTATAAATATCAGATGAAGACAAATGGCATATCTGTCACTCTCAGGCGTATAACCTTTCTCTGTATTAGAAACATTCAGAATCCTCTCTACTAGCTATTTTGAAATACTCAATTTCTGTCAGCCATTGTTACCCCTGCTACAGAGCACCCTGTTCCCATTAACCATCTTCCCATCCAGGGGTAAACACTAGTCTATTCTCTACTTCCTTGAGATCAATGTTTTATGTCTATTCTCTACTTCCTTGAGATCAATGTTTTATATGAGAGAATACAAACAGTATTTGTCCTTGTGTGCATGGCTTATTTCACTTAGCACAGTACTTAGTTCATTGGAGATGAGAATCTCATGGACTTTCCTGTGCCTGGATTGGCTTTGAACAGCGATCCCCAGATCTCAGCCTCCTGAATAGTTAGGATTGAGCCAGTGCCCGGCTTATTTTCTGTATTTTTGATGGATCCCTATATCATTTTCCATAACTTCTGTAGTAATGTATGTTTCCTCTTTCTCTGCATTTCTTTTTTATTTTCTTTTTTTGGTAATAGCTGTTCTAACTGGGGTGAGATGATAACTGATTGTGAAGTTGATTTATATTTCCTTGATTAGTTGAGTAGAGACTTCTTGATTCATACACTTGGGGCTTGTATATCATCTTTTGAGAAATCTCTGTTGAGGTCATTTCAGTTAGCTTACAGTTTTATTAAGGAAAGGATTTATGTTGAAAATGAATTTTACAACTTCGGGGGGAGGGAGGAGTTGAGGAGATCGGGAGGGAAGGGATGGGAAAAACGAAGGGGGGTAGCAATGCTCGATAGGAAATTTACTCATTACCTTACTCATGTAACTATAATCCCTCTGTACAATATCATTATGATAACAATATATATATTAAAAATTAAAAGAAAAGGGTTTGAACTTAAATTCTTTGAGTCTGTCTTGAATAGTTGAGGAAAAGCAGAAGCAGAGAGGATGGAGTAGCCATGAAGATGTCACTCCTTGTAAAGGATTATACTAAGGTGCAGGCATTATAGTGTGTGCAGGTGTGCACACATGTATAGGTACACGCTTAGCAAAGTGAAGCTCTCCTGTATGATTCTTCTACCTGTTGAGCCTCCTTATAAATGTGTTAACCTGCTAGTGAGGAGGAAGCTTTCTCCTCTGTGAAACCCCCACTGCGTAACCTCTCGCCTGTCCCTTGGTTTCAGAGTGTCATGAACATGATGCACGTCATTAGCATCCCGTACTCGCTGATGAAGGTGAACCCCCTCTCCTGGATCCAGAAGGTCTGCCAGTACAAAGGTTGGTCTACACTTGACCCCATGGGTGTTTTGGTGACAAAGATGAATCACCGCTCTCCTGCTCTTTTTTTTCAGTATAAGCCAGTGTGATGTGATGGTGACATGTGGTAACCTCTGCTTTTCTTCGTAGCAAAAGTGGCTTGTGTGAAATCGAGAGATATGCACTGGGCATTGGTGGCCCACAGAGATCAAAGAGACGTCAACCTGTCCTCCCTCCGCATGTTGATAGTGGCTGATGGAGCCAATCCCTGTAAGTGAGGAGGGGAGGGAAGCCATACAGATCCCTGTCTCCCATCTTTGTCTCACAGCTGAGATGATGACTTAATTAATCAGGGTTTCTGGCTGTAGCCCAAAAGCAGAATGGTTAAGAACAACATGTGTGAAGGTAGACAAACATGGGGTTAGTCTGGGGTAGAAGGGAAAATCCAGGGGTTTTAAAGGAAAAATCCTGGTTCTATAGAAGAAGAAAAAGCACACACACAACTTGCTCTTTAAATTATATTTTCTCAGCTGCAAAGTGACCTCCAAATACAAAGTTCTTTGAGGATTAAGTGAGATATTCCTTAAATGTAGTGCCTGCGCACTCCAGAAAGGCTAACGGTATCTTAAGGTCTGTAGGTGTTGTGTCCGTCAGTAGACGCATTCATTATCAAATCCAGTAACCAAAACCTCCCAGATGAAGTAAATTAGCACTTTTACAGAACATTATTAGTGTACCTTTTTCATAAAAACAAGCACCTAGATATTGTGTTTTTGTGAAGAATACATAATGTGAGAAGCCACCTTGAATTGAATGAAATTGTTGTTTCTGATCACTTTGATAAAATGCATGTCCTATATTTTTGAACAAGTGTAACACTGTATTAGTTCCTGGTGGATTGAAGTGGTCAAATAAACTGATAATTTAATTTTATAAATAAATGATTTTTAATTATGAAGTAATAGATATTTTGTGAGCTAACTAAGTAATTATTTTAAGTCCATAGTACTACAGAACAATAGATTTTGCATAATGCAAAGTAAATCTGCTTTTGGAAATAGTTAATTTAACATATTCCTAGTAATCTTATCTCAGTCTCATGTTAATATGGAGAAAAGTTTTCACTTAGCTAACTGGATTTATGCATTTCTTGGAACTCACATTTGGAAAATAGCAAAGCAAGTTTTAGAAAAGTTATTAAAGTGAACGCATCAGTCCACAAAAATATGGAAGATGTAGTTTTTTTTACATTGTTGACCTCTGTAAGTTTGAGAATTGTGTCTTCCATTCAAAACTAAAGGCTAAGTTGTATTAAATGCATTATTTCTCCTTGCTGCCTAACTTTTTTCTGCCTAAATCCTGACTTCAAAGCTATTTGATTCTGCAGGATGTTTTTATGCCACTCACAGGCTGACCATCGCCCCTCTCTTCCTCCAGGGTCTATTTCTTCTTGTGATGCGTTTCTCAATGTCTTCCAAAGTAAAGGCCTTCGGCAGGAGGTCATCTGTCCTTGTGCCAGCTCGCCAGAGGCTCTTACTGTGGCCATCCGGAGGTACTGGGGGACATCAGTTCAAGTTGACAGCCCTAGAGAGTGTCCTGGTTATTAAGCATGCCCCAGAGGCTTGGAGATCACAGTAGTTAATGCTCAGTGTGAGAAAAAGCACAGGGCCTAACCTTTTCAAGATGAGTTCATTTCTCTCTTAGAAACTGAACTGGATTCTTTCGAATCACCTGTCTAGATTGATTAGTTAGAAAACCATTTCTCATTCTCTTCCGCTTCGTCCCAACTACTGAGTTAGTGGAACTCTATGTAGGATTGTGTCAAATCAGAGCTCTCTGGCATTGGTGCATTACTCAGATTTTTATTGGCTTGTGTCAGTTTCTGGTTTAATGGGGCAGGGGTGGGGGATAAATGTTGGATGAATGAGATATTTGCAGCTGGGCGTGTGCTGCGATATGTACTACTCTTGTTGTTGTTGCTCTCCACCTCAGGAGGGGCACACTTAAACAATCCTGGTTTTCTGAGCCTTTGAGCTACATGGTGGAACATGAAGGGCTCTCTGGCCTACAGTGACTAGATAGCCCACAGCCTGAGCAGTGGGTTTCTAGAGAGCTCTCCCTGGACTTAGCAGTTCCCTCCAGAGTCCTTGGTCGTAGGTCACTGTAGCCTTCTTCAGAACAACACAGTGCCTGGGAGGAAAGTGGTTATAAAGATGTAACATGTATCCTATCAGAATGAGAAGATGGAAAGTGTTCAGCATAGTAAATAGTCCTTGGTCACCACTATTAGAGTTGGGTATTACTCATCCATCTACTCTGAGTTATCAATACTAATGTGAGAAAAGAGAGTTAGCATTATGTAGGTGCTTAAAACTTATTTTTCAGTGTTTTTGTGTTCCATCTCTAAATAGGTTTTCTTTCGTGCATAGCACAGGTGTACTCTTACAAGAATGGATGACACAGATAATGCAATGTAGATAACAGTTCTACTCTATGTTACTAAAAGATTAGGTTTTCCAAAATTAGCGCTCTGAAAGAGGTTAAGAAAACTTATGATGCTTTTAGGTGTTTATTATTCTATTATTAGCTAGATTTCATGACTTGAGAAATAGAAAGCCTTTACTGTATCAGAAGCAACTTTAATCTTGGCTAAATCAGAAATTAGGGCTATTATAATGTTTAAATAGATGGTGGAACATGGTGTCATGGGCTAGAATCCAGTCTTCAATTTTTAGAAAGATTCCACATGTAGGTATTCTGTGAAGAACCTTTAACTTTAGAGTACAGAACACACTTAGATTGTGTAATGGAGCACATTTCTCTATCTTACAGTTATATTGCTCCAAGATCGCTTTTTAAATGTCTGCCTAGTTTGTATACTGAGAGTAGTTACCAAGAAGATTGAGCTGGGGTGGAGATCAAAGGCCAGGAGTCAAGGTTGGAGTCCAGTCTGGTCAGTAGTTGGCCACAAGATCCTGGACCAAGGTACTTGCACCATGGCTTCAGTTTTACACACATACACACACACACACACACACACACACACACACACACACACACAGCAATTTGGCCAGATGTCAATGGCTAGTGCTCACTGGGTGTCATCACCATAAGAAGTAGCTGAAAACAGTAGCTGAAAACAGTGCCTATGGAAATTCCCATAGACTCCTTGGAAAAGGAGAAAATAACATGAACGTGATACAAAAATCTGATGAGACTAAATGGATGGTAGAACAGGTTTATCTTCTTGCAAGGAAGCAGGAGATCATCAGTTCTCGCAAGTCCTTCTCCCCCCCCTTCCCCCCCTCCCCCCAGTAGAAGTAGAGCAAATTAGCTGAAATCCTGCATTCAGTGAGTGGGCGTGCAATGGTCAGAAAGTGATGGGTCTAGCCAGCTTCTCTATAGGTTCTGTTCTTACCTGATGGTCTCCATGGATAGGACATAGGAAATTTTTTGAAAAATCAATCCCTGAATGAAAGACTGGGACAGAATTGCTTCCATTAAAAACCCAAGCAATGATTTTGCTTCACTGTTTTTCCTGTTTGGACTTTTTTTTTTCTGCGACAATAGGATGAGGACAGTGAAGTAGCAGTCTCATGGAGACCACCCTCCTGGGTTCTTTGAAGATTCTCCCATTCCCTTTCCAGTTTTCCAAGGAAACCATGCCTGTGGCTGAAGTCTTCCCCTCCTTAGCTGCTTGGTTGTGCAGAGAGGACCACATTGCTGGGCAGGACCACTTCAGTCCTGGGGGAGCCTTCCCTAGAGTCCTGATCTCTTGTCCACAACCCCTTCACATTTTCCCTGATAGATCCAGGGAGACAATAATGACTGGGGTGGAGTACCAATGCCCAGGTAGCACACAAGACCCCTGGCTACCCATAACACAAGGAAATAGAAGAAGGAGTGTTTCCATTGGGCTAATCCTGTGAATCAGAAGACTAAAACTATTCCCCCTTCATCCTCAGCACATGTCTGCATTCACACCCATGTGGCACTCTTCCCGTCTTTGACTGGAACCATGGATAAAGCATGACTTTTGTTGTGTTTTGAACATGTTCCTTAAGGCCTCTCCTGTGCTCCTACACACACACACACACACACACACACACACACACACACACAGCCCTTCCTGTTTTCCAGCTTGTTTCTTAATTTGATGTCACCTTTTCATTCGTTCACCAAATGCTTTTGTAAGTGCCTGCTGTTTTTCTGACAGTTATTCTGGGAGCCTCTTTCCACAGTCCCATAGTAAGTGAAGACCTCATTAGCAACCCAGCAACCAAGTGCAAAGATTATTTTATATGGCAGTAAAATGTTCCCTTTGATTTCCCTGAGCTTGAAGAACAGTTTGTCCCTGCAGTCACAGAGTGACAAAACCTCCTTTGGGGGCTGTTGAGCGGCTGTGGCAGAAACCCACTTGGGCCAGCTGCTGCCCCACTCCATAAGCCAGGTTCCCTACCTGAAAGCAAGCTGGGGAGTCTCACGTCCAGAATAAACTGGGAAAGGTTTTTCTTTCCTCGTGTTGTTGATGGATAGGAAAAATGATGATGTGATATGTAACTCACACAATCAAAAGGTGTGACAATAACTTGAAGAAATTATTTCCTTCAGATTTGCCAACTCTGTGCTCTGTGACCCATGCTGTAGCGCCTGGTTTTCAAAGCTCGATCAAAAGGTCTGATCTTGTTGATTTATTTGGAGTTTTAAAAACATCAAGATCCTTTTCTTTCCATGGGGCATTGAAGGCTCTCCCTGGCATGGTTTTTCTTCATCTTCCTCCTCTGTCTCTACTCCAGCCACTCTTCATACTCTTTTAAAGATCAAAATGAATACCCAGCAACCATTCACAGTATGTAAGGATGTGGGCCTAATCAGACTTAAACTGGCATCCAACAGTGTGTCACACAGCTTATATCTGTGTGCCATAGTCACTAGGTCCTGTGTGTGTCGTGGCATACTGGGGAGGTGTATTGTTAATGTGACCCCCTTCCATGTTTCCCTGGCATAGAATAAGGGAGAAGAATGAAAATATGTAGGAAAAAGAGCATCGGTTTTCATTCTAAGCCATATTATCCTTCCTTACTGACTTCACGATTTTTACCAGACAGCAGTGATTTCCAGGAGATATTCATAAACAGCCTCAATCTAAAAAGTTCAAAATGTTGTAAGATTTGCAAGTTTCTGAACACCAACATGACACCATGAGTACAGAATTCCATGTGTGACCTCAGGTGACAGGTCACAACCAAAGCAGGGGCACACAGCCACTAGAAGTTGAGGCAATATCCCCAAGGAAAAAGGACTTCCCCAGCCCCATCAGCATGGATGTACCTTTTCTACGCACGCAGGTGTGCACGTGTGGTTTCCCAGTCGAGCCTCCTTGGTGGTGATGACATAGCTCACGTGCACGCCAGAGCTACCAGTGAAGGTTCCCCCACCGCTCCACAATGCCAAGTGAGTCACTTGCTGTGTGGTTCTGGGAGAAGCATCTATGTTTATCAAGCCACACTGTTGGGGGCAACAAGGCAGTGTGATACGTGTAAAGCACCTTGAAGTGGATAGTGTTAGAATGACTGTTGTGAAGAAACAGTCATGTGCTGTTGCACTTCTGTGCTGAAAGGTACGAACAGAGTTTATATAAACTAAGCAAATTGTGTAGAGCTAAAAAGATTCTGTCAGCCACTGGTGGCTCATGCCTGAAATCCTAGATCTGAGGATCATGGTTCAAAGCCAGCCCAGGCAGGAAACTATATGAGACTCTTACCTCCAACAAACTACTCAAAAAAGCCAGAAGTAGCACTGTGGCTCAAGTGGTAAAGGAATAGCACTCAGGCCCAGAGTTCAAGCCCCAGGACGAGCAAAGAAAAAAGAAGATCCTGACTGTATTGAAAGTGCTAGTCCATCAGCATCACAGTGGACACATGCCATCAACCACACACTGATGCTAAGGGAAGAACCATCGCAACACACTGAAAATGGAAGGGAATTAGAAATATCCAACAGTCTGATTGTGCAAAGTTAAGAAAAGACAGAGAAAAGCTATGTGCCTGAAACCCCAGCTAAGGGGAGGCTGGGACAGGAAGCTCACTTAGCACAGTTCAAGACCACTTGGGTGACACACTAAGATCCTGTCTTTAAAAGCGTAAAAGCATCACATCAAGTTTTTAAACACTTGTGATAAAAAAATGTGTCTCATCCTACACAGTGGGAAAATTCATCAGTGAGTTTGCTATGGTCATTGTTGATGAGAGTCTACTGCCAGAACAGGTTTATAATGCTGACATCACCATGTGGGAATGACTGCTGTAGAAAGACACTGATTACAGCTGAGAAGACCCTTTCTACACGGCATGGGTATGCTGAGACTTGCTAAGGCACACCTAAGCGTGAATTTGATGAGAGGCAAAACCTTACATCCTTGCTGTTGCACCGTTGGGCTAACAAAACGACAAGAGTCACCAGGGCAATGTTCTGTAATTGGTTTTGTGCACATTTTATACTGGCAGCTTGTACCCACAGCAGGGAAGCTGGAGTGGATGACAGCCGTGAGGT